TTTTATGGGTAATTTATAATGAGAGCAAAGCAGCATGGAATTTCTCTTGGCTGAGTCCTACACTCACAAGAATATTCTGTGGGAATCTCAAGTTTCTTGCCAGGAAATGGAGCATTTGTTCTGCTTCTGTTGGCCTTGGTTATAGGAAAGATAATGCTCTTTTGTGTTCACAGAAATAGCCTGTTAGACATTCATCTGGATGCCATCTAATCTCAGATTGGCATCTTCCCAGATTAAGCCAACTTCTCCATAGGGTCTAGAGTGAGTGAGTGAGGGGTGTGAGGTCAAATCCACCTGCTAAGGACCCTTCCCAGCGTTCCTCGTAACGTGTGTGTGTATGGGATGCACTAAGGACCCTAGACTGCTCACTCCATCTCCCCAGAAGAGAGGCTTGCTCTGCTGCCTGCAACCCAGGGGCTCTCTCTCTCTCTCTCTTTATCTCTCTCTTAGGGTGTGGCTGGTTTTAGAAAACAAAAAATGCCTGGTCAGCCTCAGGCAGGCTCCTCCTCCTCTTTCATTTCCTTTTCTGCCTGTCTTTAATTATTTCCCATATTTTTTGACTTTTAAACACTGCTCGTTATATTTAGTTTATTTTAAATAATTTATTGAAATATTTTTGATTTGGTCTCTGAAGCAATCATTCTTAAAGTTTTAAAATGTTTTCTTTTTTTCTTTTTTTCTTGGGTTGGGGGACAGAGGGAGAGGGAGAGAGAGAGAATATTAAGCAGTTAAGCAGTCTCCACGACCACTGCAGAGTCTGTGCAGAGCTTGATGTCAAGACCCTGAGATTGAGACCTGAGCCGAAATCAAGAGTCAGATGCTTAACGACTGAGCCACCCAGGCGCCCCTAAAATGTTTTCATTTTTATTAGCCTACACATTGTTGCAGGCTAATAAATTTTATGCATCCATAAAATTTTGTAGTTTAGTCTTGCTGATTTTCCAACTTTATTCTTTTGCATTAGCTTCTTTTGCTCCCTGAAAATGATATGTATTCGTCTGTGCAGTTGGGTACGGTGCAGGCCATTCATCGTTATTAAAGTATTCTATCATTTGATCGTCACTAGTCTGTCATCACCTAGTAAATCAGGACATACACATACACCATAACCAAGCAATTCCACTTCTAGATATATGCTCCATAGAAATGCTGTTCATATCTGCCAAGAGACAGGGACTCAAGGATTGGTGTATTTGGTAAGAGCCCCAAATAGAAATAACCTAAATGTGACTCAGCAGTAGAATGGAAGATTAATTTGGCACAATCAAATAACAGAATACTTCAAGGCCTTTACTCTTAATCACAGGTGCCACATACGGTACATGAGCAGGCTCTGGGGATTAGGACGTCGTGTTTGGCGGAGGGCATTATTTTGTTTACCATCCCAGACAACAGAGGTCTCTCATCCTGTATGAATGTCAAGCAACAGTGCACGCTCTCAACACTACACGAGGTTTTAACCTTCTGCGTTCAGGACGTCAGCTGGAGCCCACACCTCATCCCTGCCTGCTTGGCGGCTTGCTGACCATCTAGACCGCTCAGTGCCAGATCCTCTTCTATGACCTCATCCCCAATACTGCCCTGTATTTAACCCCCAAAACCCTTTCTCCCACAGTGAACCTGCCTCTTACCCTCTACAAAGTTCCCTCGTTTAAAGTACGTTTCTCAAAAATAAAAAAAATAAAGTTTCACATTAATTTTTTTCACAAATTCTCCTACAGCCTTCTTGCCTCATGGAAACCCTGACCCTCCCTAGAAGATGCTGCTTCTCCATCAACGTTCCTCATAGGAAGCTCCTCCTTCTCCTCCCAAACTGCATGAGTCCTTGGGTCCAGGGCAATGCTGCCATTTCCTACTCACCCATGGCTGCCACCAAACCTTCCTTTGCTCCCATGCAAAACAAACAGACAGACCAACAAACACAACCTTTCTCTTTAGATCCACACCCTCTGATGATGGCTCTCTCCTCATTTGCAAAACACCTGCCTTCTGATTCTCCAGATGAAGTGCTCTCCCCAGCCCTGCTCCATTCCCTTCGTTCCTGGGGGCACAACACAGAGGTCATAGTGCTCTGTCTCGGCTCCTGCAGCCCACAGGCCATTCTGTCATCCTGTGGGCAGCACTGCCATGCCAGACAAGTGACAGGTAGCAACGAATATCATGAAGGAAAACCACTCAGTAAGGCTGATGGAGAGACGTGGGGTGTGCGGCTTCACACAGGGTGGTCTGGAAAGGGCTCCCTGACAAAGCCGCGTCTGAACGGAGACCTGAACACAGTGACCTAGCAGGTCATGAAGACACGTGAAGGGGATTCCAGGGGCAGGACATGACATGCCAAGGCTCTGAGCTACAAGTGTGCCTGAGCATCTGAGGAGCAGCAAGAAGGCCAGTGCGGGGGCAGTGTGAGGGGAGAGGAGTCAGTGACCGTGTGAGGGGCAGCCAGCCGGGGTACAGATCTGCAGGCCCCCACTGCGGACGCAGTCACCTCATGATGACACAAATATTAACTGGTCTGGAAGCTAATGGTGCTCAACATGCACACACGTTAACGTCACATGAAAACCCATATCCGTGTTCAGTGGGGACAATTTACACAAACGCATCTTAGCAGAGTTGGTACAAATGAAGAAAAAAAGAATAAATGAGGGGGATCCCCGGGTGGCTCAGCGGTTTAGCGCCTGCCTTTGGCCCAGGGATCCTGGAGTCCCGGGATCCAGTCCCGCATTGGGCTCCTGGCATGGAGCCTGCTTCTCCCTCTGCCTGTGTCTTGGCCTCTCTCTCTCTCTCTCTCTCTCTCTCTCTCTATATATATATATATATATATATATATATATATATATATCATAACAAATAAATAAATCTTTAAAAAAAAGAATAAATGAGCATGGAGAGCACATCGTAGGTGCTGGATAAATCCTTGACTGGATGAGTGAACAGGTGAATAAATTAATGAGGGGTCACGAGCTGCTGCCTCACCTGCCCTGACACCCCATCGCTTCTCCTTTTTTAAAAAAATATTTTATTTATTTATTCATGAGAGACACACAGAGAGAGGCAGAAACACAGGCAGAGGGAGAAGGCAGGCTCCTTGCAGGGAGCCCGATGTGGACTCGATCCCAGGATTCTGGGATCACGCCCTGAGCCAAAGGCAGATGCTCAAATGCTGAGCCACCCAGGTGTCCCCAACCCCACTGCTTCTAAGCTGGGAGTAAGTCTAGTCACAGGGTGGTGGTGGCAGCAAGTATAGATAGATAGGTATGTGGCAAGCACTGGCAAAATTGCAAGGAGAAACAGATAGAAAGCTCTATAATCACAGCTGAAGATTCTTTTTTTTTTTTTCTTATGATAGTCACACAGAGAGAGAGAGGCAGAGACACAGGCAGAGGGAGAAGCAGGCTCCATGCACCGGGAGCCCGACGTGGGACTTGATCCTGGGTCTCCAGGATCATGCCCTGGGCCAAAGGCAGGCACTAAACCACTGCACCACCCAGGGATCCCACAGCTGAAGATTCTAATTTAACTCTATCAGATGTTTACGGATCCAGTCAAATTGGATAGGAATATAGAATATTTGAAAATAACATTAGACATACATGGAACCTACAACCAAAAAAGATAAAATTTATTCCTTTTAAAAACACGTAGAAGTTTTGAAAAACAGACCCAGCTTTAAGGCATGTAGGATATCTCAACAGAATGACAGGCCATAAATGCCAACCGCCGTAGGAATTAAACCAGTACCAGTAGCTAAGAGACAATTTTTTAAAATCCCTTTGTTTGAAAACTTTAAAATTCACTCCTTAAAAAATACCTAGATGAAAGAGGAGACCAATGAGATACCAGTGCCTTGACAGTGTATAGGACAATTTTATGTAATTTATCCAAACACAGATAATAATCTGTTTTGTGTTGGTATTCAGCCAAAAAAAAAAAAAAGGATAAAAGAGGAAAAAACCCCATCCAATTCATTTGATAAGTCTAGTAAAGTGAAGTATAAGAAAACAGTTTTAAAAAAAGAAAAATATAAGCCAATCTTACTTTTCGAAATGTGTGCCGTGTGTGTGTGTGTGCACGCGCGTATGTGGTGGGTATTGTAAGATATTAACATCTAGTGAATCTAGGGGAAGGTTTATGTCAGTGTTCTGTGGGTTTGAAAATTTTCAAAATAAAACATGAGTAAGACTTAATCCAAGGGGGATGTGGACACAGACAGACACAGCGAGGAGGCCACGTGACCACAGAGACAGGGATGGGAGTGATGATTCTCAGCTCAGACCCCCTTCAGGGGAACCTGCTGTGTGCACCAGCCGGACAGCTTCCCAGTCTTTGGGATCTGCTGCAGAGGTCACACCAAGCCCCCCTGCCCCAGCCTCTCAGGGGATTTGCAGCCAATGCCTAAGCATACGGCGTTGGAGGTGCAGAGCCCGAGCTGGACTCTTCATGGGTAACCCTGCTCTGAGGCTCCCCACTCACCCACCCGACCTCAGAGAGCCACACGGCCCACTGGAGCCCCTTTGGCCCAGATCCCCCTTCTTCCCTCTCCCCTATCACAAAAATTTCTGGTCCACACTTTCCTTCCCCCGTCTGTCCTTTTTCCAGGACCCTCTTCTTCTTCTCATTTCATCTTGGCCTCTGCTCCCCAGCCTAGCTTCAGGGTTTCCTGAGGGATGGGCAGCTGTTCAGCAGCCCCACTGTCCCCATCAAGTCTTGCTCTCCCGGCCGCATCTCATAGTCTGTATCTGGAGGGGACTCATCCTGCAATGGGGCCTGACACAATGGCCCCTGCAAAAAAAGTACCTTCCATTTGAAATAAAAAATTGACATTTTGAAGCAGGATATGTACTTTCAGAGTCCAAAGACTCATGTGGCTGAAATGCATTTCCACTCTTCTGTTTATGCCAGTGGAGACTTGGAGGGGCCCCACGAGGACCACTTCTGCACAGGCAGGAAGGTCTCTGGGACACAGGTATTGGGTTAAGTCCTGAATGAAAGGCTCATACCTGAAGCACGAGAGGCTCCAATCAGCCTTGATCGGACCAGTCCTTCTCTCTTTTTGTTTCTTATTACTTTAATCTTTCCCCGAAAAATTTCCAGGTGATGGTCTAGTTTTTCTTTCAAATCATCTGCGGGGAGCGGGGAACGGGGAGAAACCACCCAACATTTGTCAATGTATAAACTAGAACTACAGAAAATAAAACAATTTATCACAATTTTGACTGATTCCTAAAAACCATGTCCTTCCACAAAAGTTCTAACTTTACAAATTTTATCTTATGTGAGGAAGAGAAAGAAATGTGATTCGGTATTTGAGATCAGCTGCAAATATTCTCCTGTGTTTCTGGTGAAAAACCTCTATGTTGACAAATCACTGTTGAAATTTCAATAGAAAAAGCATGAGCTGTGGGAGCCTGGAGCAATCTGACTTTCTCGCTGACAGCTGTGCTTCTGACAGGGCAAGAACTCAGGCAAGGTGTCTGACCTCTGGAGTCTTGGCTCCATCCTCAATGAGGAAGGCTACTCACCACATGCCCCACATGTGGAGAGAGGGGCAGATACACCACGCAGACAGGGCCTGGTACTCAATGGCCATTCGGCGTTTGGAGGGTGATAGGATGATGGTCAAGGAGGCTGGGCTTGGACGCTGCAGGGGTCTTAGGAATCTGCATGAAGAGGTAGAGGGTCAACAGAAGCAGGCTTCTTGTAATCTTGTCTTTAAAAAGAGCTCTTGGGCAGCCTGGGTGGCTCAGCAGTTTAGTGCTGCCTTCAGCTCAGGTCGTGATCCTGGGGTCCTGGGATTGAGTCCTGTGTCAGGCTCCCTGCATGGAGCCTGCTTCTCCCTCTGCCTGTGTCTCTGCCTCTCTCTCTGTGTCTCTTATGAATAAATAAATAAAATCTTAAAAAAAAAAAGATAGAGCTCTAGGGGTCCACACAGAGGCAGACTGCAGGCTGCGGAGCTGAGCTTGCAATGGGAGGGTGGGGTGTGGGGGTGAGGGGGCATCTCAGCCCAGAAGTCTGCAAATACCTCTCTCTAACATGCAGGACACAGAGGAACTCTGTGAGCTACACCTTGGGGGAAATAAAGGTGGTCCTGGCAGCAGGGATTGCTGACGTGACATGGAAGGCTTGGGTTCTTCAGAAGATGGTCATGTCGTTGGCTTGTGGTCCAGAGGGCCCAGGACTACGAGAAAGATGGGTGGCAACTGGTCAGCTCTGGACATGACTCTCCTGTAACTCAATGGGTCCCCGTCCACTGCTCCCTGGGCTGAGGAAGTCCATTGGCAGTGCCTACTGGTATCAACTGGGAAAGATAAGTTGAAGTTCAAATGGTTCTCCTAGAGCCCATGTGAAACCATTGTGAGTTAAATCAGGAATGTGTGTAACCTGAGCCCCATCAGAATATAGAACACCTCATTTCCTCTGTGTGTGAGCTTCCATGTGGGTCAAACACTAAGCTCCTTGGTGAAGCAGGTGAAATCACCACAAACCAGGTGAACTTGGATTGAGAAGGAGAGTAAAGGTATCTGGTCTGGCAGCACACCCAGACCTTGGGTGTCAGCAGTTGATTCCCCTGGTGTCTAAAGAACTTAGAAGTGGTCACCAGGTGCACCTCTGAACTCATGGTGTGGTTCTGGAAGACTTGGGGAGGTGTCCCATGGCCATCCTGGAACTGTAGATCCATAGCAAGACCCTTGTCCTTTTAAGGTGAGCAGTTAGACCTCTACAGCCTAGCAGAAGATCCCCTTTACTCCATCCTCTGCCCAACATGCGGCCAAATGTGCTGCTCAGTGCTACTCAGGAGATAAGGAATCTGACCATTTCTACACATCCCCACCTGTGCACAACAGTAGAAACAGGTAGTGGCTCCTGTGGAAATGATATCATATACAGTCATGCCAGGCCAATGTGTGCAATTCCTAGATGTAGCTGGCATTTGTGTGAATTACAGGCCACCTTCCATTTGACACATCCGGAGTCACTCACCCACAGGTGACTCTCCTGTGATGCCCTCTTTTCAACCCCCGCCTGTCCATCTTCCTTCTGTCTCTCCTCTTTCTTTCCCAGCCCGCAGTGGGTCAGATTCACAGGGGATTAGGTTAACTTCTAGGCAGGAAATCTATCCAATACTGAGATATCACTTCCATGCAGAATGGACCCCACAGGGACCTGCAGACTCCAAGCAACTTTTCACTACTCTGGGTCATCTTGGTTTATAATTCAGTTGTAAAACAGACAACTCATTTCAAATGCCAAGTGCATTTAATCAGATTTTGTACTGGTATCCCAACTCTGTCAAACCAATGAGGAAGGAGGGACATGCACTTGATTGCAGTTGATCTGATTAGAATTCTCTCCCAGGGGCACCTGGGTGGCGCAGTTGATTGAGTTTCATACCCTTGGTTTCAGCTTAGGCCTGATCTTAGGGCTCCGCACTCCTTGAACAGTCTGCTTGGGTTTCTCTCTCCCTCTCCCTTGCCCCTCCTCACCTCTCTCTCTCTCTTTCTCTCTTTCTATAAATTTCTTTTTTTTTAATAATTTTTTTAAATTTTTATTTATTTATGATAGTCACACACACACACACACACAGAGAGAGAGGGGCAGAGACACAGGCAGAGGGAGAAGTAGGCTCCATGCACCGGGAGCCCGACGTGGGATTCGATCCCGGGTCTCCAGGATCGCGCCCTGGGCCAAAGGCAGGCGCCAAACCGCTGTGCCACCCAGGGATCCCTCTTTCTATAAATTTCTATAAATAAATCTTTTAAAAAATTTTCTTAAAAGAATTCTTTCACAAGAAGGACTTGGGTCTTGTCACCCCCCTGCATTAAGCCTGTACTAGCACCCCATTCACCATAAAAAAATTCAAACGGTGCCCTTCACAAGCGGGGTGGCCTTGGTATAGCTCTGGTTTTGTGTTATGCTGTGCTCCTCCATAAACTACATGAACTACAGAACTATTCCCCACTTACCTCCTTACCTCTGGCCTCTGGGCCTCTAGGTGCTATTGCCTTCGCCTAAAACTCCCCTCCCCTCTTCTCCATCTGGATAACTCTGACCTCAGTTTACATGTCACTTCTTTCTGAGTGTCATTCATCATCCCTGAAGGCCAGGCTGGTGCCTGTACCTTTAGTCACCTCAGGGAAGTGCTAACACCTGCGAGCCCACCATCGCTGGATGGGGACCAGCACTTCCATCCCCACCGGTGGACCAGCGGCACCTACTCGATGCCCACCAGATGTAAAATGTATGAAACGTGTAAAACCATTCAAGCGCCATCAGAGATCACAGCGCCTTCCGAGCGGATGCCAGAGGTGGATGGCATTCCGTCTTACCGAAGTCGCTCATGTCATCCACCAAAATAATTTCTTCAAGGAGGTAGTGTGGAGTGAGGTTTCCGACACTGGACAGGGTCCGAAATAAGGCATTAAATTCCTCATTGTGGAAGCAAATGATCACGCTGGCGGTCGGTAGCTTGGCTGGGTAACGTTTTTGAAGACACCTGCAGGCACAAATAAAAGGAAAACAAAAGGATTAGGGGTCTCACTGAAACACCTTTCTTTACTTGCATTTTTCCTCTATTCCCTTAATTGATCATTCTGATAAGGTGACAGTACATTTAAAAATACCAAAATTAAAATACAAAAACGTCTCTCACTTCTTATGTTATTTAATTTTTTAAAAGATTTTTTTAAAAAACTTATTTATTCATGAGAGACACACAGAGAGAGGCAGAGACACAGGCAGAGAGAGAAGCAGGCTCCCTGCGGGGACCCCAGTGCAGTACTCGATCCCAGGACCCCAGGATCATGACCTGAGCCAAAGGTAGACGCTAAACCACTGAGCTATCCAGGTGTACCACTTCTTATGTTATTTTAATATTTTCTAAATCATTGCCCTCGTCTTAATGTCAGCAATAATTGCTCTTCCCTGGAGACTCTGTTTTGGCCATCTTAATTCTATGTTGAACATAGTATAAACATGAGTTATATTTTGGTTTCTATTATAAAAGTATATTAATGCACTTACACACATTGAAAGGTTTGAATTAACTGCATTGTACTATCTTCAAGAAAATATTATGGTTTAGTTTCTTGCCTCAAAGAAATGCAGTGGGTATGGTGTAATTGGATTTCTTCCAAGGATTATTATTATTATTTTTATGCATGTGAGAGAACAATAGAAGCTGAATTCTAGTAATATTAGTTATTAGCTGTTCATTACTGTTTGAATTGCTACATTATTTGGTTGTATTTTGAAATATTTTGGTTGCAAATGACAGAACCAACTGATGCTAGCTAGCTTAAGCAAAAGAAAGGAAAGTATATTGGAAGGGGACCCAAATGGCCCACAAGACCTCAGGACAGGTGTGCAGCTGGAAACTTCAAGAATGACTGGAGCTAGAGGCTTGAAAGCCACCTGGACACTCCATCCATTTTTGCTCTTGCCTTTACATCTGGGAATTATAGTAACTATAACAACATCAGCCTACTTCACAGGTTGGAAAGGTTCAATGAATTAATATGTCAAATGCTCAGAACAGTGCCAGGCAGATACTAAGTATTACATCAAGCTCATTATACAATTCTCATTCTTTCTCTGCAACCTGGCTTTTTTCTACTTCTTTATTCCACAGAGTGGGAAATGTGGCCACGACCAGCATATCTCACAGTCCAGCACTTCTCAAAAAGTCACAGGTAAGGATTCATTGTCCCAGCCTGGCTCAGATGCCTATCCCTAGGCTAATGGACTGTGACCAGCGAGAGGGGTCAAAATAGAAGGTCACCATTCCCACTGCAATTTTGTGGAAAGGGGGATAGGGCAGGAAATGTCAATAAATGTCAATAAATGCCCCCACCCAGCAAGGAGTCTTGCTGGGTGGGGGCAAGACTACAGTATCCTGCACAGACTCTCAGCATATTCATGGGCAGATGTCACCATGGAAGAAAAGGGCCTGGTCTAGTGAACATTTTTACCCAAGACTAGATGAAGATGTGCCTTCCAGGTAGAAGCTGGCATCATGCTCCAGGGAGTGGGACCAGGGAAAGGGCTGAGCAGCTGGGAAGTGGGGTAGGGTGGGTATGTCCTGCACATGGCTTTGCAGAGCAAGTAGGAGAATGACCTACAGGCTTAAATTCCAGGAAGATCGTGGAGTTTTCAAAGAGGAAGCAGATGAGACAGACGGGGTGGGAGGATGGAAGGATAATACAAGAATGAGGGACGTGATGGTCCAGGGTGAAGTCATGCTACTTAGGTCACATCTCTAGCATTATATTCAGTCCTTGGGCATGTCATTTAAAGAAAACTGTAGGTAAACGGAGTCCCTTCAGAGGAGTGAGACAGTGATAGTGAAGGGGCCTCAGAGTATGTCACACCAGGACTCCTTAGGCCCCTGTGTGTATGAGTTTCTCCAAACTTAATTGGTAAATGGTGCTGTGGTCTTTTCTGACCTAAACTTCTCTCACCTAAGTAAGCAGTTTTTCAGAGTGTAAGTAATTTGGACGAGGCCTGAGTTTGGTTGTCCTTCGTCAGCTGCTCTATTCTTTGCTGATCGTGTAGAGTGCCAAGAGTACAAAATAAAGCAGAACTATTGTGGGTTGGATTGTATCTCCCCCAAATTCATATGTTGAAATCTGAACCCCCAGTATGTCAGGATGTGGCCCTATTTGGAAATGGGGTTGTTGCAGAAGCAATGAGGGAGATGTCATTAAGGTGTCCCTAGTCCGATAAGACTGGTGTCCTTGCAAAAACTGGAAAATTAGGGCCACATCCTGAGTTGGCTTACTTACCTTGTGCCCTAAGTCAGCTAGGGGTATGTTGACTTGCCCTCTTTTGCATTTTTTAAAAAATATTTTCCAGGTTTTTGTGATTAACATTTATTTATTTATTTTTAAAGATTTTATTTATTTATTCATGAGAGACACACACAGAGAGAGACAGAGACACAGGCAGAGGAAGAAGCAGGCTCCATGCAGGAAGCCTGGTGAGGGACTCGATTCTGGGTCTCCAGGATCATGCCTTGGGCTGAAGGCGGCATTAAACCCCTGAGCTACCAGGGCTGCCCTGTGATTAACATTTAAAAAAATCTGCACACTTGCTAATTACAAAAGGATAAATAGTCTTTTTACAGGGCGGAAATAATTGAAAGTAATTTCACCCCCAGTCACTTCACAAGTAATGGGACAAATGGACATCGAGTGCCTCCTGATAGGATGCTCTGAGGATGACACACAACCACTTCTATGGTATTCATGCCAAAAAGCACGACCTGGATTTGATCACAAGGAAATATCAATCTCACACTGTGGAACCAGTTATTTTAGAAAACAACTGGTTAGATCTCTTAAAAAGTGTTATAGTCATGAAAGATAAAGACTTAGGAACAGTTTCAGATGAAAGAAAACCAAGGTCATGGATAGATGCAAGATACATGCAATCTGTGGTCTTGGGTTGGATTCTTCCAGAAAAAAGACGCCAATGGGCAACTGTAAACTTCTAATCATGTCTGTAGTTTAGCAAATGGTAACGTATTACTGTTAATTTCCTGGTTTTGTTCATCGTTCTGGTTCTGAGGGTATGGAAGATGTTCACATTTGGGCAATCTACGGAAAAAGCTATACAGGAATTCCCTGAGATATTTTTGCAATCATTTTGTATGTCTGAAATTATTTCAAAGTTGAAAAGTTAGGGGCGCTTGGGTGGCTCAGTCAGTTAAGTGCCTGCCTTTGCCTCGGGTCATGATCCCAGGGTCCTGGAGCTGAGCCCTGAGTCAGGCTCCCTGCTACTTCCCCTGCTTGTGCTCTCTCTCTCTCTCTTCCTCTCTGTCAAATAGATAAAATCTTGTTTTTTAAAAAGTTAAGAGATAAAAAATTAAATCAGAAGACTAAGCAACGTAAAAATGTACTCTTCAAAGATCTGTATCAAATGTTTCCACAGCTAGTTAAAATAGTCGTGAACTATAAGGCACAGTTGAAATAGAAACCCCTTTTAATAGAATAATAAGATTAGTATGAGAATGGCTGAAAATATACTTGGACTCCAATAGCACTAGTTATTCCTTGTAGTTAAAATTTATTTGAAACACAAGTGTACTTTGTAAATAAATGAATTTCCTATTAAATAAGTTAATATTCTGAATACTAAAACTTCAAAGTTCACTTCTCTCTTTGGAGAGAAGTATCTCTCTAAAGTTTCCATTTTTCTTAACAATCATGTGATAAGAGAAAGGAAACAAAGGCAGCTGCACTATTTTAGGAGATGAGATTTAGGGAGAAGAGTTGATGGTGTGGCGAGAAATTCATAGCTTACAGGCATTCAAAAATATTGGGGAAAAAAAAGAAAAAGAAAAAAAAAGAAGAAAAAAACCCCAAAAATATTGGTTTTCCTTTGTGGTAGCACACTATCCAGTTAAGAAAAAAGTTGTCCCCTGGGGTGCCTGGGTGGTACAGTTGGTTAAACTTTCAACCCTTGATTTTTGGGCTCAGGTCGTGATCTCAGGATGACAAGATCAAGCCCTGCATCAGGTTCTGCACTCAGCAGGATATCTGCTTAGGATTCTCTCTCCTTTTATGTCTCCCCCTCCCTCCTCTCTAAAATAAATAAATAAATCTTAAAAACAAAGTTGTCCTCTAAATTAAATTCATATCATGTTATATGGTTTGAATAAATTTAAATTCTTTTTTTTTATTATGACCCAGATAGATTGTGTCATCACATGTAAACACTACATCTTTTGAGTGTGCCTCATCTTAGGTGATATTTAGCTACCTAGAGGCTTTATTGATTCATTATTTGTGGTTTCAAATGTTCGTGTTACACACACGTTGCACCAAGACACAGTGGGCCCCCCTTTCTCCCATTTCCTGGAGCTTGGATTTTGTCTTTGTGTTACTGGAAGATGCTATATCCCATAAGTACTTCTTATTTAGTTAAGGAAGAATATCAATCTTCTTTAGATAGGAGCCATCAGAATCATCAATGCACAATGCAACATGAGTGAATCTTGGAGACGCTATGCTAAGTAGAATAAATCAGGTAAATATTGTATGATTCCATTTTTATGAGGTACCTAGAGTAGTTAAAATACACAGAGACAGAAAGTACAATGGTGGTTGCAGGGGGACCAGAGGGAAGGAAGAAAGGAGAGTGAATGTTTAATGAAAAAAGTTCTGGAGGTGGATGGTGATGATGGTTATAAAACAATGTGAATGTACTCAATGTCACTGAATTATAGTTATAAATAGTGAAAATGGTACATTTTATGTTATGTCTGTTTACCACAAGTTAAAAAAAAAAGGCACCAACACAAATGATTGAAGAAACAGCGAGAAAAAGCAGATTTTGAAGAAAACATAAGTGGCTGTCTGAAGGTATTTGGCCAAATGTCCTTACTGGTAATTCAATAAAAAGATCTTGTGGGCAATGCAATTCCTTTAAATCTCTAGAACACATTCGGTACAACTGGAGAAGGTATTCTCTACCCTATAAACTGAGAATTTTAAAATAGGCTCTTGAATTATTGGACTTCACATACTAAAAATAGGAAGACTTCTAATATGTCAAAATTAAAATCTGGTTAGTAACTATTTACTTAAAAAATTAAGATGTTTTCTTTTTTTTTAGATGTTTTCATTTATACATTTGTACACTGTTAAACTATAAGACATTAGTGAAATAAATAAAAGAAGACACAAATAAATAGAAAGATATTCTGTGTTCATGGATTGGAAGAATTTGACATTGTTAAAATGTCTATACCACCCAAAGCAATCTATAGATTCAGTGCAATCCATATCAGAATTCCAATGGCATTTTTCATAGAAATAAAACAAAGAATCCCAAAATTTGTATTAAATTACAGAAGATGCTGAAGAGGCAAAGCAATTTCAAAAAATAAGAACAAAGCTAGAGGCATCAAGCTCTCTGATTTCAAACTCTATTACAAAGCTTTGATAATTAAAACAGTTTGGGGGACGCCTGGGTGTCTCAGTGGTTGAGCGTCTGCCTTTGGCTCAGGGTGTGATCTGGGAGATATCTCACACCTGTTAGGATGGCATTAGCAAAAAGACAAGAAATAACAAGTGTTGAAGAGGATATGGAGAAAAGTGAACCCCGTTTGTGGGAATGCAAACTGGTACAGCCACTGTGGGAAACAGTGTGGAGTTTCCTCAAAAAAATAAAAAGAGTTCTAACATAAGATCCAACAATTTCAGTTCCTGGTATTTATCTGAAGAAAATGAAGACACTAACTCAAAAAGATATATGCACCCCTATGTTAACTGCAGCATTATGTACAACAGCCAAGACATGGAAGCAATCTAACTGTCCATCAGAGGATAAATGGATAAAGAAAATGTGGTATTATATACACAATGGAATACTATTCAGCATAAAAAGGAATGAAATCTTGCTATTTGCAAGAACATAAATGGACTGTGAAGGCATTACACTAAATGATATAAGTCAGAGAAAGATAAATACCATATGATCTCATCTACATGTGGAATCTAAAGAACAAATTAACAAACAACCAAACCTCTAAAACCCAGCCTCATAAATACAGAGAACAGACTGGTGGTTGCCAGAGGAAGGGGGTGGGCAAAACAAAGCTCCATTATAAAATAAATAAATATAGGAGAAGATATTTGCAAATGACGTATCAGATAAAGGGCTAGTTTCCAAGATCTATAAAGAACTTCTTAAACTCAACACCAAAGAAACAAACAATCCAATCATGAAATGGGCAAAAGACATGAAGAGAAATCTCACAGAGGAAGACATAAGACATGGCCAACATGCACATGAGAAAATGCTCTGCATCACTTGCCATCAGGGAAATACAAATCAAAACCACAATGAGATACCACCTCACACCAGTGAGAATGGGAAAAATTAACAAGGCAGGAAACCACAAATGTTGGAGAGGATGCAGAGAAAAGGGAACCCTCTTACACTGTTGGTGGGAATGTGACCTGGTGCAGCCACTCTGGAAAACCGTGTGGAGATTCCTCAAAGAGTTAAAAATAGACCTGCCCTACAACCCAGCAATTGCACTGTTGGGGATTTACCCCAAAGATTCAGATGTAATGAAATGCCAGGACACCTGCACCCCGATGTTTATAGCAGCAATGTCCACAAGAGCCAAACTGTGGAAGGAGCCTCGGTGTCCATCGAAAGATGAATGGATAAAGAAGATGTGGTCTATGTATACAATGGAATATTACTCAGCCATTAGAAACGACAAACACTCACCATTTGCTTCAACGTGGATGGAACTGGATGGAATTATGCTGAGTGAAGTAAGTCAATTGGAGAAGGACAAACAGTGTATGTTCTCATTCATTTGGGGAATATAAATAATAGTGAAAGGGAATATAAGGGAAGGGAGAAGAAATGTGTGGGAAATATCAGAAGGGGAGACAGAACATAAAAACTCCTAACTCTGGGAAACGAACTAGGGGTGGTGGAAGGGGAGGAGGGCAGCGGGTGGGGGTGAATGGGTGACGGGCACTGAGGGGGGCACTTGACGGGATGAGCACTGGGTGTTATTCTGTATGTTGGTAAATTGAACACCAATAAAAATAAATTTATTATTAAAAAAAATAAATAAAATAAAATAAAATAAAATAAAATAAAATAAAATAAAATAAATAAGTCATGGAGATGTAATGTCCACCTGGTAAATGTAGTTAATAATACTATACTACTTATTTGAAAGTAGCAAAGAGAGTAGATCTTAAAAGTTCTCATCACACACACACAAATATTTTTTTGTAATGGTAAACCAATGTTATCTAGACTTATTGTGGTAATTACTTGGCAGTATATACAAATATCAAATCATTATGTTGTACATCTGAAACTAATATAGTCTTATATGTCAGTTATACCTCAGTAAAAAAATGAGGAGAAACATACATTTTATTCCTGGTATCTGGCACCTCGCTGTCACTGCCCAAGCTTTTACTGAGAATGGTATTAAATCCATATTTTAAAAGTCCATCAATAAATTCTGGGTTTGAATAGTTAAAATCCTTACCTGCAAGAAAGGGTAATTACAGTCACATAAGTATAGGTTTACTGCCATCACTTTGATAAAGGACAATAAGGACAACTATATCCTGAATTCACTCCTTTTATAATGAGCCAGAGTCATTTCCTGGAACCTACACTAACCCCAGATGATAGGCTAAAATCAGGCAGATTCCTTGGCAAAGTATGAACAAAAAGCTAGTCTTTGGTCACTCAGTCTCTCTAGGGACAGAAGTGCCCGACCTCCTTGGTCTCATCATGATTCACAACTGTTGTGTGAAATTATTCTGAGGGATTTAGGAAAGGTGGGAAAGGGGAGCTAGAACCCCTCTCCCAAAATTCCATTGCAAATAGAACAAGATGCCAGAGGCCAACCCAAACATATCAGTCATAACAATAAATGAAGATGGAATAAATTTCCTATTAAAAATAAAAACTCTTAGATGTCAATGAAGAAACAAAATGTAATCATAAAAGATAAACAGCACAAACTAAAATAGTTAAAAGTAAAAGAATGGTCTAAGAATACAGGAGTCAGAATATCATTTAGGAAAGTACAGAATTCCTTGGAAGGAGCATCCAGAAAGTCATTTTATACTCACAGTAAGAATAAGTCACAATAAAGACTAAATAGGAACAAGCCTGTAGACATCACATACTGCTGCAGCAAAATATGTTAAAATCATTAGAGATACCAATATATAATGCCACAAATAAGCAGTAATGGAATATTTTAAGAATAACTCCAACTGGGATCCCTGGGTGGTGCAGCGGTTTAGCGCCTGCCTTTGGCCCAGGGCGTGATCCTGGAGACCCGGGATCAAATCCCACGTTGGGCTCCCGGTGCATGGAGCCTGCTTCTCCCTCTGCCTGTGTCTCTGCCTCTCTCTCTCTGTGTGTGTGACTATCGTAAATAAATAAAAATTAAAAAAAAAAAAAGAATAACTCCAACTCAGAGAAAGAGAAGTTGATTAATATAACTAGTTACATTTCCTTAGTGGATTTATATTTTTCTTTGTTTTTGAAGAATAAACTTTCTTTTCCAATAGCTACCAAGTGCTCTCTCTTTTTTTAAAAGATTTTATTTATTCATGAGACACACACACACACACACAGAAGCACAGACACAGGGAGAGGGAGAAGCAGGCTCCCTGCAGGGAGCCAGTTGCCAGAGTCTACCGGGACTCCAGGATGACTCCCTGAGCCAAAGGCAGATGCTCAATCACTGAGCCACCCAGGCGTCCCTACCAAGTGCTTTCGAAAAGGGATATAAAAGGCTGTATTATATATAAAATGGATTTTCTTCAAGATCCAGTAACCCCATTTTCATGAGGCCCTCTTTCTTACACCTGCGAAATCCTGGACAGGACACAATAGATAAGCATAGGAAGTTCTCTGAAAGATCGAAAGGAGGAGGCAGATTCCTGAGGCTGATCTCCAGAATGGAGGAAGGATATGATGAGCTCCTGATTTGCCCGCTGCTTCCCATAAATCCCAGACAGAGGTCTATAGAAGTCTTCAAGTAAAACCACCAATAGGGGGGCACCTGGGTGGCTCAGTGTTTGAACATCTGCCTTGGGTTCAGGTCGTTATCCCTGGGTTCTGGGATCAAGTCCCACATCGGGCTCCCTGCATGGAGCCTGCTTCTCCCTCTGCCTGTGTCTCTACCTCGTTCTCTATGTCTCTCATGAATAAAAAAGAAAGAAAGAAAGAAAGAAAGAAAGAAAGAAAGAAAGAAAGAAAAAAAAAACACCGATAGGCAAAGAAAAAAAAGAAAAACCAAAAAGAAAAAAAACGCCAAGATCAGCCAGTTCCCTCTAGCCAAAGGGCCAGGGAGGCCTGAGCACAGAAAACCTGTGTCCCAACAACAAAAGAGCTGATCTTTGTATTATCAGAGCCCTGGAAGGAAAGGAATCAGAGTGAGACTGGAAAGTATTCTCAGAAATAAGGCTGAGAACTCCCCAAGTTCAGCAAGGCTGGACATCTATAGATTCAGGAGGCTGAGCAAACCCCCAAACAGGGTAAACCAAAGAAACCCATGTCAGGATACCTCATAATTAAACTTCTAAAAACTGAAGACACACTTCTGAAAACTCCTGAAAGCAGCCAGGGAGAAAAGACCCAGGACTCACAGAGGAACAATCTGAATGACTGTGGATTTCTCATTTGAAATCATGGAGGAGAGAAGGAGGTGACAAAACATCGTCAAATGCTGAAGGAGATGAACTGTCAACAGCAAATTCTACATCCTGCAAAAATATCCTTTGGGAATTATAAGAAAATCAAAATACTCCTAAGTGAAGAAAAACTAAGAATTTGCGACTAGCACATTCACCCTTAAAGAGCAAAAAAAAAGAGGTTCTTTAAAGAGAGAAATGATAACAGAAGGAGGTTTGGAACTTCAGAAAAGAAAAAAAGAACATCAAAAAATCAATATGGATAAAAATACAAATAAATATGGAAGACTCATTAAGAAACTCTTATGAGTTTCTTAAGTCATATATGGTGTTTGAAGCAACAGTTATAACCATCTGATGTGGGGCTCAATACGAAGACAATTATATTTTTTAATTGACAAGGCTAAGAAACTGTTTACACTTTACTTGAAGTGTCAAAACGTCAATGCAAAGGGACTGTGATAAATTATAGATGTATCACATAATGCCTACAGCCACCACTAATGAAGCCATACAAAGTAATCTTTTTAAAAAGTACTTTAAATAAATCAAGATAGATTTGGAAAATGTTCAAGTAACCCACAGAAAGATAAGAGAAACGGAAGATTGAGAAACAGGAAACACACAAAAAACAAAATGGCTGAGAAACTCTGACATCAATAATTGTTTTAAATGCAAATGATCTAAATATACCAATTAAAAGCATAGATGAACAGAGTAGATTTAAAAAATGTTCCAACAATATGCTAGCTATAAGAAACTTACTTCAGTGAAACATAGATAGATTGATAAAAAAACAGAAAAGGATTTACTTGCAAATGTTACTCAAAAAAGCAGTTGGGATGCCTGGCTGGCTCAATTGATAGAGCATGAGGCTCTTGATCTCAGTGTCGTTGAGTTCAAGCCCTGCTTTGGGTATGGAGCCTTCTTTAGGAAATAAAGTAGGGGTGGCTATGTTAATATTAGATAAAATAGATTTCAGGGCAGAGAGAATTTCTAGAAACAGAGACATTACCTTACGATAAAAGGTTCAGTGAGCCAGTAAGACAAAATGATTTTAAATAGAAACACGTCAAAAAACAGTCTCAAGATACACATACACGAAGCAAAAACTGATAGAGTTAAAGTAGAACCTGACAAATCCACAATTATAGTTGGGGTCTTCAACACCCTCTCAACAATTGACAGAACTATCAGCCAAAAACTCAGCAAGGACATAGAGGACTGAACGATATAACTAACCAATAGGATCTAGTTGATGTGTACGTGAAGACCACAGCCCCCAACAATAACAAATACACTGTATTTTCAAGTGTGCATGGAGCACTCACCAGAGATGGACCATATTCTGGATCATAAAACAAAACTCAGAAAACCTAAAAGAATTGAAATCATACAGAGTATACTTTCCGACTATAATGGCGTCAAACTGGATGTCAGTAGTAGACAGTAGAAACTTATTCAAAGACTCTAAAATTAATCTATTTCCAAATAAGCCAAAGAGAAGGTCTCAAAGGGAATATAAAAATATATAGAACTGAATGAAAATGGAAATTCAATGTATCAAAATATGTGTGATACAGCTAAAGCCATATTATTAAGATGCCAATTCTCCCCAAATTGATTTTAAAGCCAGTACAATTAAAAATACCAGCAGGCTTTTTTTTTTTTAAGAAATTGACAAACTATTCCTAAAATCTATATGAACAAGCTAAAGGCCTAGAATAAATAAAACAATTTTTGAAAAGAATGAGAATAGAGTTCTGAAAGAGACTCAACAAAAACAGTCAATTGATTTTTGAAAGGTTGCAAGATGGAAAAAGGGAAGTTTTTCAACAAATGGATACTGTGCAAAATGGGTATCCACATAGAGAAAATGAACATTGATCCTTACCTCCCATCATCACACAAATTCACTCAAAATGGATTATTGTGGCCCTAATGTAAAATGTAACGTTTAACCTAAAACCTAAAATTTCTAAAAGACAACACCAGAAGGGGATCTTTGTGAACTTGAGGCAGGCAAAGATTACTTCAATAAAACATAAAAGACATGAACCATACAAGAAAATAAGGTGAACCGAATATCAAAATTAAAAATATTGCTTCCTGAATGACACCATTTTAAAGAGAATAAAAAATGTAGGGTATGGTGACTACATTTAACAATGCTATATTGTATATCGAAAGTTGCCAAGGCAGATCTCATCACAGGAAAAAAAAAATATGTAACAGTGTGTGATGGATGTTAACCACACTGTGGTGATCATTTTGCAATATACACATGGATCAAATCATTATGCTGGACTTCTAACAGTGGTTTAGGTCAATTATTTCTCAATTTAAAAAGAGAATGAAGAGACAAGGCATGGACTTGTACAAAATATTTGCAACTCACATATCAAAGGACTTGAATCCAAAATACATTTTTAAAAAATCTTAAACATTAGAAGACAAGTATCCTGATTTAAAAGTGGACAAAGGAAAAAAAATGGACAAAGGATTTGAAGAGACACTTTACAAAAGAAGATAGATGGGTGGCAAGTAAGCACATGAAAAGGTGCTCAAAACGGGGCAGCCCAGGTGGCTCAGTGGTTTAGCACCACCTTCAGCCCAGGGCCTGATCCTGGAGACCTGGGATCAAGTCCCATGTCGGGCTCCCTGCATGGAGCCTGTTTCTCCCTCTGCCTGTGTCTCTGCCTCTCTCTCTCTCTCTCTCTCTGTGTGTGTGTGTGTGTCTCATGAATAAAAAAATAAAATCTTAAAAAAAAATAGAAAAGGTGCTCAAAACCATTAGTCATCAGAGAAATGCAAATTAAGACCACAATGGTACAATTACTTACCCATTAGAATAGCTAAAATCTAAAAAGCTTACCCTGTCAAATGTTAGTGAAGATTTGGAGCATACATTGCCAGAGAAGATATTAAATGGCACACCTGTGTTGGAAACAATTTCCCTTAAAGTTAAGCATATACCTACCATATATCCTGTCTGCACCAAACCTAGGTATTTACCTAAGAGAAACAGAATATGTCCATACAAAGATTTATAATCCATATTCACAGCAGCATTGCAATTCACTCCGGAGTATCTACAAACTCATTAAAAATATAAAATATTGTATTTTGCTAGAGATCATACATAAAGGAAGTGAATAGAGATATCCATCAACTCAGGTTAACTACCACCTCTGAGGTGGGAAGGAGAGGAGGAGGTAGCAAGGAGGTAAAGGGAGGAGGAGGAAGGAGGTAAAGTCTTTGATGGTACCTATTAACATTTATTTTGTAAAAAAAAAGAACACTATCTGAAACAAATATAGCAAACTATATAAAACATTGTTAAATGTAGGTGATGCATGCCTATTTGTTATTTTCTGTATATATATGAAATATTTTATCATTTAAAAAATTGAATTGCTCTAAGAGAGACATTCTTTGCCTCTTTCAAATATTACATTTATGGCAAATGTTTCCCTTAAAATGGCTAACAGAAAAATAAAAAATACTTACCCAATTTAAAAAGTAATTTTCCTGCAGTTTCATCTTCATCAGGCTTTTCAAATCTCATACGCAGTCTTGGGATTTGCTGGGGTCTGTGGGTAATTTGCTGTTGCAATTTTTTTCCAAGGGACCAAATTAATTCAGCCTCCTGGGTTTTCGTCTCCAAGTTGCTCACATGATTATGGTAAATATATATATATGACAGAGTTGTCCAGATCCCAAATATCAAGGATGCATAGAATAAATATTGAACTGTGACACCTCTCATTGTAAATCTAGCATTTCTGAAGGTCTGTTTTTTAATTTCCTAAGTCAGAAGGATTTAAAAGAAACTATATTAGATATCTCAATGATTTGTAGATCATCTACTTGGCTTAAACTCCATTTCCAGTGTTTAAGAACAGGATCATTTTGATATGTATTTATCATATACTTGGACAAGATAAGTATATCTTGTTTTCTACTAGTGAACACTACTAAAACTAATATTCAGAAGATCACTTAACATCAAAATGTGTAACATGGTTATAAAACATACACTCCCATTTAAAGTAATTGGCCCACACTCCTGAGCCTACGGCTAAAGAAAATACAGCAAAAGCAATTTTTTTGAATCTCTGAAGTAAATGTGGCAAAATTAAAAGGTTTAATAAAGCTTAATGATGTGTCCACAGAGCATTCATGGTATTTTTCTCTATATTTCCCTTTTGTTGGAAATATTTCATAATTTATCAGAAAAGTCTTGAGAGACTTCCTTTAGAGATGATGGATTGAATATGTGTGTCTGTGCCCTGTCCATCTTGACTCAGCTGTGAATAAAAACAAATCTAAAAACTCTCTTGGGAAAAGAGAGGTAGGGGGAAGGTCAGGGCACATGAGATTTCAACATAGGTTTGGAAGACCGGAAGCTGCTTGGATGAGAGGTAACAGCATGTAAACAGAGGAAGCCAGGACTCCACGTGCACAGTGAGAGGACTCTGAGGTGGGACCCTAGAGCGGCTGGGGACTGGTCAGGTGCAGTGGGGAGGCTTCCATAAAGGCCACTTGTGTATAGGCACAGCAGTCAGCTCTCTTCACCCCACGCTGCACAGAAAAGTCAAGATGGGAGCCTGGCAATTTCTTCTCTGGTGACACTGGACTGAGGAGGCTCAGCCTCTACAGAGGGGAGGGGCTAAAGTCAAGGGGACCCCTTGGATCCAGAAGGTTTGATCACTCTGCCCATTTCCTCATCTCTCTCTCTCTCTCTCTCTCTCTCTCTCTCTCACTCTCTCTCACACACACACACACACACACACACACAGGCTCCCCCAGCCAGGTTGCTACACCTGAGGTAGGAGACGAGAGAATTGTTCTATGGTGAGAAAACAGGTCTCACATGCTGAAATTCGGGAGTGCCCAACAAAGCAGCCTACTATGTGTGACCTTGTCTGTGGTCAGGGTCAGATTCCCATCAGTGGGTTAGGGGTTAGGGTCTCATTTTTCAATAGGAACAGAATGCTGTTATGCACTGAGTTGTGTCCTCCCTAAAATCCTATGTTGACGTACAGGCTCCCAATGGAACTGTATTTGGAGATAGGGTCTTTAAAGTGGTAACTGAGTTTAAATGAGGCCATGTGGGTGGGCTGTAATCCAATTGTACCAGTGTCCTTGTAAGAAGAGGAAGAGACACCAGGGTGCATGCACAGAGGAAAGCCCATGTGAGGACACAGGGAGAAACAGGACATCTGCAAGCCAAAGAGAGAGGCCTCAGAGGAAACCAACACTGCTGACACCTTGATCTTGAACTTCCAGCTTCCAGAATGGAGGGAAATAAATGTCTGTTGCTTCAGCACACCCAGTCTGTGGTATTTTGTTGTAGCAGCACTAGTAAACTGATACATGTGCCAAGGTTTGACCTAGGTGTTTGGAGAAAGCCTCCAGAAAGAGAAAAAATACACATAGAACCAGAAAATGGGAACAAATTAATGAGCACTTTCAAAAACTCAAAAATCACTTTTGATTGCTCCCCGAGAGCCAAGAAGATGCTACATTTATAAAACCAGAGACGCAGGCTTGAAAAAGAAAACATTACAGAACAAATAAAGGTTGTCAAAACCTAAAACATGATTGGGAAAATCAAAAAATTATTAAAAGGTTGGGAAATAGTGTGAAAGGAATATTCTGGAAGGCATAACAAAATGACATAAGGGAAAACATAAGAAAAACTGGAGGGAGGTGGTATTTCATTAATGGAGGTATAACATCTAAATAGTAGAAACATTTCCAAAAGATAATCAGAGAAAGGTGGAGGACAGGAAAATGTTAAATAAATAATACTAATATTTTCCCCAGAAGTAAAAGGGGGTCACAGAATGCCAATGCAATGAATATAAAAATATCCCTAAAAACTTCCAGGTGCATCAGAAATGGTCAACATATAGAAGGAGAATCAGAAGGATATCAAACTTCTCAACAGCAGCACTGGGTTCCTTTTTTTTTTTTCTTTTAAAGATTTATTTATTTTAGAGAGAGAAAGAGAGAGCCCCAGCAGGAGGGGCAGAGGGAGAGGGAGGGAGAGTCTCAAGCAGACTTCATTCTACGTGAGCACAGAACCCAATGTGGGGTTCAACCTTACAACCCTTAGATCATGACCCGAGCCAACCCTGAGATCATGACCTGAGCCAAAACCAAGAGTCAGAGGCTTAACCAACTGAGCTACCCAGGCACCCCAACGCTGGTTTAAGACTATAAAGAAATGGCTTTACAATTCTAAGTTAAATGGTATTTCACCTAGAATTCATTACTTAGTCAAAATTTAATTTAGCTTGAAAGAGGAATAAAGATATTTTCAGATCTGTAAAGGAGTCAGAAAGAATTACATTTCACGTATCCCTTTTTAGAGACTACATGTGGATTGCAAATGCCAACAAAACAAAGAAGACATGGTCCAGAGTGGTGGATCCAAACCAGGGGAGAGGCAGAGATGGTCTCAGAGGGTGGCTGTGCAGGCGGGGTAGGGGTTTGGGGGTGACTGTCCACATTGGAGCAGAGGCTGTAGTGAGCTCTGGCACTCCATTCCTCCCCCAAAAAGGAGATGGGTCAAAAGAATATCAAATTTGATTGGGTGAGGAAATGCAAGTAGATGACCTATCTAATGATAAAAATTAAGGAATGGTATTTGTAGAGTAATAAAGATGTAAACACTGATTTTTAAAAATGGAAGTCATGTAAAAAAATGCAATTGTTGTGTAAAATAAGCCAAGAAACAGAAGCCTAAGGATATTAGTTAAAATATGAATGCAACTGTCATAAGATATATATTATAGGAGCTGAAAGTCATTGCTTTTGGGGAGTTGTATTGGGGATTGGGGTGGGAACTGGGGAGGGGTTTGCTGACTCTTTTTATTTCATTTTTTAATGTATGCATTACTTTGATAAAAAATTTTCAGAATAAAGATTACATGTGGTGCCTATCAAAGGGCATCATGGCTTGTCAACACTTACATACAGCAGCCACTTCTCTCCCTGACTCTTTAAATCATGTGACAGCCTGGCCCCAGGGAGAGGGAATCAAACGTAGGAGCCTTGAGCTCTCCAGCAACACCCTCTTTCTAGGACTCTCTGGGGTGGGTCCTCCTCATATTCTGATTCTTCCAAGTGTCTTCCTGGCATCTGACCATGTTGTATTGTCTCCTATTTTTATCCCATTTTTCTGACTGGAGGAGAGTCTGCCTTCCACATTTTTTACCTTAGGGTTGTACTAGGAACAAGTTCGCATACATGATCTAGCTCTCTCTGCTCTTGTCCACAGTAGAGACACAGCCTACCCCACAGAACCCAATACTCTCAACAATTCCATGGTATCAAACCACCTGGGCAACACCTTGCCCCCTAAACACACCTGAACACACCTGGATACAACGTCATATGCAATGGTGCTGTGTGGTGCCACCAGATCAGCCCCCAGAACCCAATACTCTCAACAATTCCATGGTATCAAACCACCTGGGCAACACCTTGCCCCCTAAACACACCTGAACACACCTGGATACAACGTCATATGCAATGGTGCTGTGTGGTGCCACCAGATCAGCCCCCGGGGCTGGGGCCCCCATTCTCCCTACTGCCTGAAGTACTGGCACATGGCCACATCCCTTCACCAGAGTTACCCTTGGTGGGGCAAGCTGCTTTGCCCAAAGTTCCTCCTTCCCAAGGGAACTCATGTTTAAAGACTGGTTGATGAGCCCAACTGCCTTGTTTCAACTTGGGATGACTCTGAAGGCCTACCCAGCCCAGAGCTGCCCATGGGACAGACAGAGGTCCCTCTTGCAATCACATTGCAGTCTAGCCCCTTTCTCTTAGGAAGACAAATAAAAGGAAATCTCCTTTAGAAGGGAGTCAGGAGGGGTGGGGGGGGGCTCTCATGTTCTCATGTCTCCTTGTAGACTGCAGACCCAACAGAAACAGAGGCATCTATTATTATCATTTTACTACCCCAGCAAGAGGAAAGATAGTTTCCTCCTCCTCCAGCAACAGCCCAGCCAACGAGGGACAGTCACAGCCCAAACGATGAGGGAAAGTCACAGCTCAACCAATGAGGGACAGTCACAGCCCAGCCACTATACTTGGAACTCCAGTTGACTCCAATGGACTTTTTGTTTACTACCACCTGCCTTCCTTCCCCACTTCTCCTTTATTCCGTAAAAAACATTCTTCTGTTTGTTCTGTAGACTGGCCTTAGGTTTTGCTATAGCTTCCTTGTCCTGGGTTGCAGTTCTCTGCCTTTCCTCAAATAAGCTCATTTTTTCCCCCGGTACAATAACTGGTTGTTTTGTTTTTAAGGTTGACACTACCCATTCCCTTCACTCGCAGGTGTCCTCCCCCAAACCCATGCCAATCAAGTATCTGCAGGCCAACCTCAGAATCCGAGTCTGCTTCCTAAGGAACTGGAATGACAACAGTTGGCAGTGGGAGTAGTCCTGGGGCACAGACACCGATATGGGGTTTGAGGCTGAGTCACCTCTATCAGCTGGCCCTGAGGACCCCACTGCTGGTGGGAAGGTGGTGCTCTGGCGGCCGCCAGCTGGCTGCAGCAATGTGCCTGGTACAACTTCACTGGAGGGGAAGTGGGATGGAATACTGGTGGAGAGGAACATTCTGGACAGCACATTTGAGAGATGGGGGTAGGTAGAAGCAAATATAAAAACTGTGGAATCGAAATGGTTGCTGTCGGATGCTATGGATGCATTTGAGAAAGGCCACGAAAGGCTGAGGGTGACTAGTCACCCT